AATTAGTCTATTCATCGCACTCCATTTTGAGTTGTGACATTCCCACAGCACGATTGCTATCTTCTGATGGTTCCTATGATCTGTGAAGCCATAGTTTGCTTAACCATGATCTACTGAGTAATTTACACAATGTTCTGAACTCTAATCTCTGCTCCCCAACCTCAAGCAGTGGACGTTTACACAAGACAAACCTCATAGGTCACAGGATGGCTTGATAACTAGAGTTCCAACCCAGTTAACCATGTCAAGTAACACACATTCCCATCACATGCTAAGCTTCTTGAGAATTTAGTTCTTAAGTGTTTTGCTGATTACCATGTTGTTCAAACCTAGCCTATTGGGTTGACTTATGTAGCGTAAAAATTTCTATTTGGATTGGAAAAAAATTAATGATACCCAAGATGAGCAAAAAAAAACCAAAAACCTGTTATTTTTTCATTTGCCATCTTCTAATAAATGTCTAAAGTTGTATAGATAGAACTGAAAGCTGTATTGAATGCTGTCAGTATGTTGTGTTGACCAAGCTGTTGGGGGCAGAGATAGCAAGAGCCCTTAGACTTATATACTGCTTTACAGTGCTTTACAGCCCTCTCTAAGTGGTTTACATACAGAGTCGGCATCTTGCCCCCAACAATCTGGGTCCTCATTTTACCCACCTTGGAAGGATGGAAGGATGAATCAACCTTGAGCCTGGTGGGATTCAAACTGCCAAATTGCAGGCAGCCAGCAGTCAGCAGAAGTAGCCTGCAGTTCTGCAATCTGACCACTGCGCCACTTCGCCACTGCTCTTATTTGATAGTTGCATTTGAGCCGTTCTGATTAATGCACAGATGTATATATCTATATGGCAACTGCCTTTGACCTGGGCATGCAAGTGTATAATCGTCAAAACGTGTAAACCACACACATCTTAGATGTGTGTGAAGGGCCCCTTCTAAGAAACACACAAATCTTTTACAAAGGTCACTTTTTCAATCCAAACTTAAGCATTTAAAAAAAAAAAACGAACAAGGAAAATTTTTACTGTGAACATTCCCAGCTGATCAATTGAAATGTGATTGTTAATCGTAGGACCAGGCAAATGAATGAAATTATGTTGAGTTATGGGTGAAAGGAAACCTCCTTCCGAGCTGAAGTTAAAGACATTGGATGGTGAATGTAAAGACAGACAGAGCTGCAGAATGGAGAATTTAGAAGGATTTTGTCTGGTTGCTTCAAAGCTTTTTTGTTGTTGTTGTTGTTCATTTCAACAATCACTGCAGTGGCTTATCTCCAGAAGTTGTGGGTGCTCCATCACTGGAAGTTTAGGGAGAGTCTTAGGTCAGGGTTCTCCCAAAGGTGCTTTTTCAAGAGCTCTTCAGCACTGAAGAAGCTTCTTGGATGAGAAGCTAAATGTCTTTTAAAAAAAACCAAACAGACCAGAAAGTCCAGTTGCCTCTTGAAAAAGCACCTTCCATCCCCAGAAGTTTTCAAAAAGAGACTGGGCAGCCATTTATCCATAACGATATAAGATTTTCTGCTTGAGCAGGGTTGGACTAGAAGACCTTCAAGGTCCCTTCCAACCCTATGATTCTATGTTCTAATATTTACAAGAGTGAAATGTAATGAGTCCTGCATTATTTCTACTCTCGTCATCTCCTCCTTTGTGAAATTGAGGATCTGTGGATTTGCCCAAAAGATTCTCCATCAACAAATGAACTTAGAGAGGATGTTCAGATAGGAGTCATTCCTTACACACAACAAGGAACCACTCAATCGAAGGCCATTGGATGGTTCTGTAGTTACTACAATTAGGGACGCAGTGGCTCAGTGGCTAAGACGCTGAGCTTGTTGATCAGAAAGGTCGCCAGTGCTGTGTAACAGAGTGAGCTCCTGTTACTTATCCCAGCTTCTTGCCAACCTAGCAGTTCGAAAGCATGTAAAAATGCAAGTAGAAAAATAGGGACCACCTTTGGTGAGAAGGCACCAGCATTCTATGCACCTTCATCATTTAGTCATGCCAGCCACATAACCACGGAGACATCTTCGGGCAGCGTTGGCTCTTCTGCTTTGAAACGGACATGAGCACCGTCCCCTAGAGTCGGGAACGACTAGCACATATGTGCGAGGGGAACCTTTATCTTTAAGTTAGTTGCTACTTACCTTTTTCCCAGTGGTGGCTTCCCACCATGGTCTCCTCACTCACCTCTCCCTTGCATCCAAGTTCAGTGTTTGATTGAGCTCTATATTCAATCCCCCTCCCCAAAAATTTAGGAACGCGGTGGCACAAGCGGATGAATAGACAACATGGTACATATTCTTTTTCTTTTTAATGTAAAGTCAGAGACAACCTCCCATTTTGACCTCCAAACAAACCAAGGGCAAAAAAAGGCCTCTATTTTAGGTTACTCCCAACCTCCCAACATCAAAGTGCGCTTCTCCAGGTCCATTGAAAAGGGAAACGAAAAACCAAGAGAACAAAGTGAATGCAATTTGAGGGAAGCTTCTTCCCCCTCCTCCCTTTCTTCTTAAAAGACATAGCGTTATTTGAAACTTTTTCTTTCTTTCTTCCCCCCACCCACCCCCTTTTTTTTTTGCAGTCCTTGCTATGTTTTTAATCTGGAGCTGTAAAGAGTTGTGCAGGGTGGGAAAGGATGGGGGAAAAGGAAGTGTGTTAGCTTTCAACCGTCATTATATAGCAATAGCAATAGCAGTTAGACTTATATACCGCTTCATAGGGCTTTCAGCCTTCTCTAAGCGGTTTACAGAGTCAACATATCGCCCCCAACAAAAATCCGGGTCCTCATTTTACCCACCTCGGAAGGATGGAAGGCTGAGTCAACCCTGAGCCGGTGAGATTTGA